CTCAAACCCGTGACCTTTGGGTTACTGACTCTCTAACCATTAAGCCACGACTGCCTAAACATAACTGCTGAACAATGGTAGATTGTCAGTTCCCGGAGCAAAAGCTTATTACAGTCAGTCCTTCCCAAAACTTGCATCATTGGTTGAGCCAGAACTTTAGATGTCGATTCTCTCAAGCAAATCGCAGTGTTTGTTCCACAAAGATTGCTACACTCTTTGGGCATTTAAACCACTTTTAGTAATTCATTTGTAGTCTGTATTTATTTAGCTAGTACAGGTGAAAGTAACTTGGCATACAAAAAAAGATTCTTCATTGTTTATTTTTTTAACAATTGACATTGTTAAACGATCACATTGGTTCAATATTGTGCTGGTTGCAGTGTAACACTAATTCTTGTTTGCTTGCTGATTTGATGTCTTGATTTTGCATATTGGTAATGAACTGGCTGTGAATTGAACCTAGAAAAATAAATTAACACTGCTTTTGGGGGAATTTAGTGAGAAATTGGCTTGTGTGTTTTAATCTAAATTAGAGGCAAGGATGACACAAACTACTTTTTTTACTACTACGTTTTTTTACTTTAAGATTATTCTGTTGTCAAGGAGGCATGACAAATCAAGATAATTATGTGGCTTGGTTGACAAAATTGTAGTATTGTAGTATTGTTGCAATGCATTGGTTTCAGTAGCAGTTGGTTGTTGGTTTCACCATCTTTTGTGAGCTGCATAGAGTGAGTTTGGTGTGCAAATCTAACTCTACACTTGGTGCAGACGTGATTAATAGAGACCTGTGCATGAGCATCAGCTATTTTTCACTTCTTCTATCCTTATTGTGTCTCAAAATTTTTATTTCTCTATGCACTCAGATGAGTTTCCTCCCAGGACCTTCCACGGCACCAGTATGTGTGTCTCTCTCAGTATGTGTGCTACCCTTCCTGTAGATCACACCTATGTCAGGTTTAGACTTTATTGGGCTGTAGTACTTTTGTTGCCTATAGCTTTATTCTGCTGGCCTTTAGAGAAGTTGTTTTCTATGACTAAATGGAAATTAATTTGCCACTGAATCTATGTCAAGAAGCAATATGTCAATATGGTCATTCATTTACATGTACAATTTGCTATGTATTTTTACTGCTCAAAGCTAGAGGTGACCGCTGTCTGTCTAATTCATGCTCTTCTCCATTTTATGTCAATAAGTGGATGACAATATAGGCTTTCTTCCAACCTTTGGCCCCTGCTACGTCAACATGTATGGGAGCCCCCGAGAGTTCACAGCCTTCTCAGACCCACATGAGGCACTAAACTTTGGAAAGGTGAGATTTACTATTATTTTACTATATTTACTATATTTATATATATATATATATAT